CTGTAGAGAAAACAGAAGATTTGTTGATTTAATGGATATGCTTAATGGGAGCATCTTTAGAGATCAGGAAGTGGGGACTAGATGACAGTGATAGTTGCCCAACATTATGAACGTGTGAACCGTACACTTTTCTTTTTAAAAGAGGCTCTCACTGTGTTGCCCACGCTGGCCTCCAGCTAACACTCTCATGCCTCTGCCTCCGGAATAGCTGAGCTGACAGGCGTGTGCCACCCCATTTTAAATTGTTAATTTCTGTTATGTGGATTATAACTTAATAGAAAGAAATAAGAAAAGAAATATTCTACTGCTCTGAGATTAGACAGCAGCTTGGCAGGAGTATCCCCTGGCCACAGCTGAAGTTTGAGCCACGTTTTTGGAGAATGCTCTGCAGCCTTCTTGCTCTGCGGAGAAGCACGCAGTTGCATTGGGGGCGGGGGGGGGGGGGGGGGGCTGTGGTCAATGGCAACCTCAGCACCTGAGCTACAGAGAGCACGTCCTAGAGCAGAGATACTGGGATGGGAGGCCAGGCTAGGACTCCAGTGGACTTCACAACCCCAGGCTACGGGCAACTTTGAACGCGGCTCTGCCACCTGAGTATCCAAAACATCGAGAGGTTCGTGGTCATAGTCCGATTGGTAGCTGAATGCCAAGTGTATGAGAACCCAACAGTCTGAGGTCTTCCTGGAATTTCCATCCACCATTTTAATCGCATTTCATTGATCCTAAGCCCTGGCTTTGATATGTAATCATTGCTGAGATCTGGATGTTTTAGTGTGTCATACTTTAACTTTTTTGTAGGAGGTATGTGAAGCAAAGGTATAGCAATTATGTCTGCGATTCGATGTGATTGGAACTAAAATTCTAGTCAAGTGTTTTGAATGATGAAGTGGCATCTGTCTCCCCCTCTATATCCCTGTCAGTGTGCAATAGATCCTCAATAAGTAAATAAATGAATGAGTTAATGAAAACTGTTTGTTATTAGTCTTGACTTTACAATTTGCCAACAATTTGATCTGGACAAGCCATGTAACTCGTTTGAGCTTTTCTTAGCTCACTAATTGGCCGTAATAAAGTCAAAAGCATGTGGCTGGGGCAGAAAGGAGGCCAGAAAAAGGAAGTACCGCATAGATTTTTTGCTGTGGCCTGAATCCTTCCTATAAGTTTCTGTTTTAAAATAGAATAGCTTTTGGAAGCCCTGAGACAGGAGAAATCCAAGTTGGGGCCCAGCCTGAGCAATTTAGCATTTTAGTGAGACACTGCCTCAAAAAAAATGAAAATAAAAAGGGTTGGGGATGTACCTCAGTTAGCTTGAATTCTTATTGCCACCATCCCAAATACTTTCATAATGATAAATATAAGTGGAAACAAATGGAGATTTAGGGTAGCAGGAAGGCAGATAAATGTAAAAAAGCAGTTAACGGTTTAATTTTTATTTATTTATTTGATTTTGGTGGGGCTGGGAATGAACCTAAGGCTTCCTGAAATGCTAGACACTCTACCACTGGGTTACATCCCCAGCTCCACATTTTAAAAAATGGTAGAATTGGGTGAGTGGAAGATGTTCTTATTTTCTTTTGACTTTTCCAATTCATGATCAGATTCTGGATTGTGCTGAGGACAGAAAGAAAACAGACATTAGAAACCAGAAATCAAAGACTTGGTGCCCAACCCTCCCTCCCTTTCACTGGGTATTCAGGCACTTAGAGACTAGGTCTTTGGAATGGCTTCACCTGCATGTACATTCACTAATTCTGGGTACAGGACCTGCCCATCAGTTCTAAATTTGTCAGCCCCCACTGCACTGCCACTCCTTCAGGATCCAGCAGTGCTCTCGGTCTGCCTGGCTGCTCCAGCGAGTGCAGGGAAAGCTCAGCCTTGTGGCCCTATCGGGTTGCAAGAGGAAAACAGATAATGCCAAGTGTTTGCCCAACAAAACACCAGGAGTGGGGCATGAAGATGTCACTTAGAGGGCCTTTCAGTGCCCCCAGGAATCCGTTGCACTTGGTGAAGAGGCAGCGAGCTGGTGACCAAAGGGTGTCTCTGGGTCCAGTGCAATAGATTCCATGAGAAACTTTGGTCCCGGTGGTTTTGCTTCCCCCACCCACCCCTCCCGTGCTCCTCCCAGCAAGCCGCTAATGGGTTCCTATCATTCCTGGACCAGAATGGCTTCTGTTTTGTTTTTATCTACAATAATAAAGTCAAAAGCACTTGGTTGGGGGCGCAGGGAGTTACAAAAGAGAAAGCACCCCCATAGATTTGTACTATGGCCTGAAACCTTTCTGTAAGTTTCTACAATTTTTTAAAAATTCCTTTTGGGAGGCTGAGACAGGATTCCAAGTTGGATATCCACCTGGGCAACTTAGCAACTTAGCGACCTTATCTACAAGGTCCTACATGATCTGGGTTCTGTCCTCTTCTCCAATCTTCCGTACCACTCTTGTTCGTTGTTTTCCCAACTATCCCTGACCGTGCCACAGTCCTTATACCTGAGACTCTCTGCCTCCAGTGGTGACTTTTTGTCAGTACGGTTCTCTAACCACTATTTAGCTTTCTTCCTGTTCACACTTATCACTTGTGTTGGTTTTGCAAACTATAAAGAAAATACATTTTATCTTACTTAATGTCTATTTCTGCCTGCAATCTCAGCACTTTGGGAGGCTGAGGCAGGAGGATTCCCAGTTTGGGCTCAACAAAGGCAACATAGCGAGACCCTTTCTCAAAATTTTATACATATATGTTCTGCCTGCCTCTATCTATCTATCTATCTATCTATCTATCTATCTATCTATCTATCCATCCATCCATCCATCCATCCATCCATCCATCTATCTATCTATGAAGCCTGGCCCAGGACTCAATCCTTAGGGGCTTTGGGAGAAGATATTAGGTTATACCTGAGTGGTAGAGGGCTTGCCTGGCATTCTCAGGCCCTGGATTCCATCCCAACAACACAAAATAATAATGGTGCAAATATTATGCTATTTTATTATAAGAGATTTGAGCATCCTAGTTTTGTGTCCATAGTGGTCCCCAAATCCAAGCCCCAGTGATACTGTAACTGTACTTGGTGACAAGGGGTTGGAAAAAAAGAGGGAAGGGAAGAAGGGATAGAAGGAGGAAGGGAAAGAATGAAGGAAGAAGGAAGGGAGGAAGGAAAAAAGATTAATAAAGTCACATGTCTGGGTTAGATGTCTTAGGCTTGTTTATTAAGGGTCACTGAATTTATTTATTTGGTTCAATTCAACAGTCTACTTCGTTGCCTTCTTGGCTCCTCCCCTTACTGTGCCTCGCGCTCTGTAGGCTACACTCCAGAGCCTGTGCCCTTCTACAGACTGTTTCTGCACCTCTCACTCCCAAGCTTGGGCTTTGTATTCTGTATTCACATTGCCTCCCAACCAAGGTCCTAGAGCGAGGTTCTCTACCCTGTCCTCCCAGGCTCCTCTGTGCCCCAGTTCTGAGGGAAAATAGGAAAGATTTCAGGATCTTCGAAGTTAAAGTTTTACCTTAAATGTTCATGTTATTTTTATGTATTGCTACCTATATATTTTCCTTCCAGCAAAAATAAGAATAAAATTGGCACTCAGGCAGACAGGTGTAGGAATGGGGAAATGGGACAGGGACAGGAAGGGAGGCCTTAGTGGTTGCTGAAGGGAAAGGCAAGATGGACTATACTCTTCTCGCTCATCATCTCTGGATAGCTTAAGAGAAGACAAGCGAAAGAAAGGGTCTCTATCTCTACTGTAGGTATATTTTAAAAATCACCAGAGGAGCAACAGAAAACTGCACCGCCTAAGGCAGAGGGTCAGATTTCCTACAGTTGTGCAAAAGAGCTGAGATAAAGATTTCCACACCTTGCCTGGCACCACAGGGGGTGGAAATTGTGGGATGGTCCAACAAGATAGGTATGTAAGTGAGGCCTGAAGGACTGAGACTGACCAGCTGGTTTAAAGGAGGAAAATAGATTACTAGACCTCATGTCTCCTGAGTCTCCAAGGCAAGATTGTCAGGGCCTTGAGCCTTGGGGAGGTTGAGTGTGTGGGTGGTTGGTGGGGATAGGATTTATGGGGTGGATTTTGATGTGTGCAAAACCTTTTTGGTTTATATGTGGTATGATCAAACAATAAATTTTTAAGCTTTAAAAAAATTTTGCTACAGTGAAAGACACATTAATCCTCCTCAAAATACCCTTCCTTGCTTGGAACACAATTATCCAATCGTTCTTGCCACTTTCTGAAACAGTTCTGGAAGTCCTCTTTCGTATCTTTAAATTGGCTCTCTTGGCTGTTTACCTTGATGATTTGATTCAAAACGTTTATCTTTCATGGTTATTTTGACTTTGAGGAAGAGCCACAAGTCATACGATGAATAACGTGGATGAGGACACACTGTAATTTTTTAAGAGCCCACTTTTCTGTTGGATGGTATTTTTTGACCACATCTTGTAAAGATATTTGCGAAAGAGGACTTCCAGAATTGCTTCAGAAAGTGGCAAGAACAAAATGAGATAAGTGTATTCAGAAGTGCAGGGGAGGGGGAGTGTTCTGAGGGGAGTTAATGGCAATGTCTTTTACTGTAATGATTTTTTAAACATACGCCATATATTTCGGTCACGCCTCATTGAGGCAAGCTCCGGTTGTCCTTTGAGTTGATTGTGTGAGGTAAAGTGAAACTAGAGACCCTGCTCTCCAGGCCTCAACTTTCCCATCCAAAGTTCAATTGAGCTTCAAAACTCCCCAGGTTCAAATCTCTGAATTATCCGTCCTCACCTGGTGACTTTGTGGGGTGACTACACAGGCATCGCTGCCGCTTACACGTCCCCCACAACGTCGCGCAGATACCTAGCGACCTCGCGGTGGCCCTGCTCCTCAGCCAGGTCCACGGGCAAGCGGCCCCAGGTGTCGCGCACGTCCAGCCGCGCCCCAGCCCGGTGCAGCGCCACCAGAGTATCCAAGAAGCCCGCCCGCGCCGCGTCATGCACCGGTAGTGTGAGGGTGACAGGGTCAGCGCAGTTCGGGTCCGCGCCGTGGAGCAGCAGCAGCGCGGCCACTTGGGTGTTGCCCATCATCATGACCTGCGGGAGGGAACAGAGTAGTCAGAGCTAGGACAGGATGAATGGAAAGAAACCCTGTTTATAAACCTTCATCACCGTCCACCCATTCCTTGCAGACAACCTTAAAAGTCTCGGATGTCTGAATACCCTTCATTTGCTTCCAGTTACCACCACCTTTTCCCAGTTCGCCTATCCATTCCATTTCTCCCGCACATTGAATTTCACCATATTTGCCAACATGTTGTAGATCTCTAGCTACAAGCAGGGGCACACACAAAGAACGGGTGTAGAATAAACTGGCTTTTACTACAAACTAATTTCCTATATTTTTTCCTCATTTTGAGATGAAATTATGTTAGGCTAAGATATTTTGTGTAGTTCACTGCTGTAAAACTCAGATGCGATAACCGTTAATTTTTTTTTTTGAACATTAAGTGTCACAAAACTTTGTTACCTTTTTCTTACAGAATAAAAATTCAATTTATTTAAATACAAAATGAGAAGGCTTGTCCAGTTGGCCCTAAAATTCCTTTTTGTTGTAGCCTTAATAAAGTTACCCAAGTCATAATGCCCCCCACCCCAAGATGTTAATGTCCTAGTACTCAAAGGCTGTAACTATGTTACCATCTTGGGCAGAAGAGATTTCAAAGATATAATTATCTTAATGATCTTGAGAAAATTATCTTAGATTATCAAGTCCAGCCCAATGTAATCACAAATGTCTTTACCAGAGGATCAAGGTCAAAGCAAAGGATCAGGGTGGCAGGGATTAGGGAGATACAAGGGCAATGAGCCACCGAGCCTGTCACCAGAAGCTGGAAAAGGTAAGAAAGCAGACTACTCCTTACAATTTCCTAAAGAAATGAAACTCTGTGGACTCATTTTAAACTTCTAAACTATAGAAGGATAATTTTGTGCTCACTAAAATTGTGATAATTTCTTACACCAACAATAAGAAACTAAAACATTTCCTAAGTATATGATCTGAGAGTTCATTAAACAGGAAATATTCAACTCTTAATTCCTAAATCATCTGTGAAATAAAACCACAGAGGACTGTTTAAATGGTATCAAAAATCATTGGATTCTTGCAATGTGCAGTATGGTGAGCAATGGTGGTGGCTGATCTTTTTACGGTACCCATTATTTGGTTATATTAGCTCAGGGATGCTGAGTGTTTGAAGAGGAACTTTATTTTTAGTTACATTCTGTACCAACTAAAGGAATGGCTTAATTTTCCTAAATTGGAAAACTATAATAAATTATACTATGGCTGTTGAATCCTGCCCTGAAGAAAGTGAAACTAATTTAGTTTTCAAAAAGACAAGGAAAAAATGTAAGTGAACTAAATTATAGTTCCAGATAGAAAAAGCATTGTGGTGCACTGTTCTTTGCATATGATGAAGCTCTCCATCCTGGTCATTAAACTAGTCTTAAACATTTTTCACTTACTTTATGATATGAAAAAGCTGAAGAAAAGTAACCTATATTTAAATAATAGCAAACATAAGCAAAAAGAAAATGAATACTTAGAAGATGTCTAAATCAATTTGATAATTAGAGGTTAGTATTTTAATTTTTTATATAAACTATTTCTGTATTAAACACTAATTTGGCTAAAGATCTAAACAAAACCATTTCTTTTTCTCTACTAAATCACTGTAAAAACTAATTATCTAATTTTCTTTTCCATTTTTGTATTTAATTAGATCATGTCTCTTCTTTTATACTCTAAGGCTCCAAAGCCAAACTCCAAGATGCTGGCAAAATTTTAGGGATATTAAATTATGACCAATGAGTACATTATTTTTAAAAGACTCATGCTTATTTGGTATAACCACCTAGTCTCTCTAGCCTCAAAATGTCTCTTCAAATGTCAAATAATCTCAGGCTGTAAAACATTCTTATTATATTTCCATATCTGCACTTTAAAATTTGTAAAATTTATTCTGTGTTCATAGTTTCAAGGAAGGAAGTCACTTATGCAGTTTGTGAAGTTTCAAGTAGAGTTATTTTCCTTTGTCTAGTTATGGGGAGTTTTTGCCATGTCGATTTGTTTCATATGATTTTTTTTTTCAAGAATCAGAAGTCATGGTCACCACTGGGAATAAAACTTGGGTGGTAACTGCTGAGAATTCGTTTTTAAAGCTTGAAATGTAGGGGAAATGTAGGAAGTTAATGAAGGCACTCCCCCCCGCCTCCCATTCCCATAGTCTCCCACACCCAAATGGAGTGCAGAGGAAAGATGACACTTTTTAACAACGATGAATTGAAAACTCTATCACAAATAAATTAACATATATCAAATAAGTAAAATATCAAGAATAGGAGGTGGCCTCAAAACAGTAACAATGAGATCACACTAATGTTTTTCTTCATGTCTGTCTTTATTTTCTAAGTTCCTAAAACAAGCATATAGTTTCCTACTTGGTTAAAATAAAAAAACAATATGTAGTTGCTTTTGAATAATTTTAATAGATATCTAAATCACCATACACAGCAGTAGATTTCCAACGAAAATTCCCCTTAGCAAGGAAGATATGCCCCATCCATTCAGGGGTCAGTGAATCGAAGAAAGTAGTCCCAGCAAATAATTTTTAAAATGCATTTAAAATTCGAGTTTTATCCCAAACGTTGCTAAATTTTGCATCTAGTGAAGAGCGTGCCTCAAACTACACACAAAGGAGCCCCCTGCGCCATCTTCACTGCGTTCTGGAAAACCGCACCCCTGTGCCTCCGCGCTCCTTCGTGGGCTTCGGGAGGCGCTGGGACGTCGCCAAGAGGGGGCCTCTGATTCCAAACCTGTCGCTTTCTGGTTTAATGGAAGAGCTATCTGGTTCTGATTGCCCTGCCAACCTCGCCCCCCGGAGAGTCCAGAGCCATCCTCTGCTCCAGCGCAGATCCACTTTCCCACCTGAATCGGTCTCCGGCCGAAACGGTTCCGGGCATTGGGCGGCGCCCCAGCCTCCAGCAGCTCGCGTACCTCCTGGACCCGGCCCCGTGCCGCAGCAGTGGCCAGCTTTTCGCCCCACGAGTCCATGCTGCTCCCCGCTCTGGTTCCCTCCCTCCCTCCCTCTGCACCCGAGGCGGGGCGGTCCCGGGTGACCGGCCCGCCCCTCCTGCCCCTCCCAGGCTCGCAGCCTCGCACAAGGGCTATGGCTCCAGTCTCCTGCCAGAGCAGAGCTTCTGTCCACAGCAGGAGGCGCCTTTTGCTCTGAATACAATGCAGATGTGGCGTCGGGAACTCGTTGCCCACCCGGCTAGCCCAGGGAAGCTGGCCTGAAGGGATTCAGCCCAGGGCAAGTGGAAAAAGGACTCCCCAGTTCCCTCCCCACCTGCTTCCCACGTGGCGCCTCCCACCCCCTCTACGCAGCTGCTCCTTCCGGCGCCCCAGGAGGTCCCTGAGCTCCTTCTCTCTGCTTGACAATCCCTCTCCCCGCCACCCCGTTTCCTTCCTCCCTTGTGCAATATTCTACCATCAGAAAGACAGACAGGTTTCTTTGCTGCCAAATTCAAACCAGCATATTTGATGTCCTCGGCAAAGATTAGTCCCCATATTAAGGCCTCCCGTTCCAGAGACTAAGAAACCCACCGAGGATCGAGGATCGGTATCACCCCATCCCCATGCTGAGACAATCGTTCCTTGTTTCAGATGACACATTTCCCCTCCCCTTCTCGACCCACAACTTTGACATGCTAGATGGACGCAGAGCTGCGATGCCAGAGATTCAAGCTCAGAGAATTTGCTTTGGGCAGTCTGCCCGCCAACTTGCCCTCCTCCCTCACGAGTAAAACATATCTGGGGGAGGGTTTTTCTCAGCAGATATGTGCAATTCCTGGTATAAGAGCTGGCTCTTAAGATGAAGTCTATTTAACATCGATGGGTAAGAATCATGCCTATAAGCAAACAGGAGAGTGGGGGAGGGACTCATTGGGCTAACAGGGCTATTCGCACCGTGATTCACAAATGGGCCATTCCTCCTTTCTTTTCAGCTCCTCACACTTTATGGGGCTACTGTGACTTTAAATGAGTTGATATACGTATAAGCATTAAAGACAGTGTCTCACATCCTCAGGTAGTACCTGTCAGCTATTAAGTTATCATTTTAAAGGATTCACTTGCAATCTTGTGAGATATCGAAAAGAAAATGCGTTGGATAGAGTTATCAGTACTGTATAAAGATCAAGAAGACTCCAATCGTGGAGAAGATGATGGGCCTCCTCCATCATCCTCGTGTGTAATAGTATGCAAAATTAAACAGACTCCAAGAACATGACAAACCAAAGGAAACATAAGGTTAGAACTTCCCGATTATTACCTGTATGCCTTTAAAATACATTAAATTTTAAAAATTAAGAATGCTGATGCTTTAAGCATATGCTTAATCTGTCTACTGGATAACCCAGCTCTGTTTAAATTATGTTTCAATCCGTGGTTAACTTCTCTTGTAGACTTATACATAGCATCTTGTAGTTTCGGTTGCTTTTCTGTCAGCAAAACATGCAGTTTTTAAATGATGCCAATTAAAATGCTTGAGATGGTAAATCTTATAAAAACCCGCAGTGCATTACTAGGCCATCTATATTTTCCTCTAACTATTTCTCTATTATCTGGCTGGTAATGGTGTGGAGAATTCAAATTGTCAATAAAAGAATGCAAAATGCTTTTAATTCAGCTTGAATACTTTATGATGGGGGAGGAGGAAATAGTGACTGTAATAATGGGAGGGAGGGAACATATTTCCTGTGTTATTAATATGTCTGATTTTTAGACCAATATCAAAATTAGTTTCCATTACTGTACTGTAATATTTTTTTTAACTTTGGGGCAGGCTGAGATGGAGGACTGCAAGTTTGATCCCAGCCTGGGTATTTAAACAATTTAACAATACCCTGTATTAATATTTTTTAAATACTTTTAAAAGGGCTGGACATGTATCTCTGTGAAAAAGCACTGGGTTTAATCCCCAGTACTGAAACAGAAAAGATTGGCAAGCCATGATATGCAAGCTTCTCATGTA